CTTCTCAACCTCTTCCAGGAGAAGAATCGGCCCACACTGCAGAAATGGCCACAGGTGATGCCATTTTCCACAAATAAAAGATTCAATTTCAGTTTTTGGTTCGAGTAATATAAGTGTCTTACAGTAGAAAGGGTGAACATAAGTGTTTCATTCTTATTTTCAGTTCACTGACTTGGGTTTGAATTGTGTTTTAGGAGACAGATGTTCTGTATATTGTACCCTATTACTTTGTAGATGAATGGAGGAAATTTATCAGGTAATGATTTTTTTTTTTTTACATTTCTGTGATTACTAAGATAACTTTTCAGTTTAAATATGGATCATTTTGACATGTCCTAAATTATCGTAATGTCTTCTGTTATACCTGATCAACACAGGAGGCCAGCCAAGAGCAACCCAGTGTCCAGTGTGGCGAACAGTCTCCTGCTCTGTCCTCACGGAGGCTTCATGTTCACATATGACTCCATGCTGCAAGGAGACGCTCAACAGTGAGTTAGGCACTCCTAACCTCTCAAATGTCAGCAAATCAGCATATTAGAATGATTTCTGAAGGACCATGTGACACTGAAGACTGGTGTAATGATGCTGAAAAAGACATTTATTTAAAATTGTAATAATATTTCACAATGTTACCGTTTTACTGTCTTTTTAATCAAATAAATGCAGCCTCTCAATTTAAAAATCTTAAGGAACCCAAACTTGTAAACGATGTACGTTTCCTTATCCATGTCCATTTTAATCTAAAAAGTAAACTATCCATATCAAGAGCAGTTTCAAGTCTGAGTGTTCGTGTCTGTCAATGCACAGTATAGCACTTCTCTGGCCTGCTGAATGGGAGGTGATCAGCAAAATGTTTCTGGTGGACCAGGCCATCTCCATATGTCGGATTCATGACAAAACACACGACAATGGCAATGTGCAATACCAGACTTACCCAGGTGAGCTAAACCGTCAACCCTCAGCCAGGAGTTTCTCCAAGGTTCCTCAAACAGACATTGTATTTCATGTGAGAATGTGTGTTGTGGTCTTAGATCTGTGTCGGGAATGCAGAGAAGGCTTCATATTCCAGCAGCAGAGGGACATGAGTGAGTACGCGCAGGCCACGGTCTATGTTCGCAAAGTCATTGACAAGAAAAGGGTGAGTTTTTGCATGATCACGTAGCCTCAATTTAACCCGAAACACTATGAATGTACAACCAGGAATAACTCATCTGTGCCTTTTTCTTTCTCTCTTATAGATGATTAAGGAATCAGCTCCTGATTTCAGTGTGAGTGGGTCAGATGTGGAGGACGAAAGAGAAGAGCCAAAGATGGATGGAGAGAAAGATCCAGACTTCAGTCAGGTATGTTTAAAGATGATCTCTTGTCTGTCTGTCTGTCTGTCTATCTATCTGACTGTCTATACATCTTTCTGTCTATGCAATTGTCGATACGTCTATCTATCTTTGTCTCATGCCCCCATGTTTAAATCAGTCTGAGGTTGGAGCCAAACGGCAGAAGCTGAATGAGACCGCCTCTCTTTCTATGCCCCCTGTGACTGCTGCCTGCAAGTCAAGCATCAGGAGGAGCACAAGGCACAGGAAACTCCGTGGAGAGAAAGCCCTCATAGTCTCTGCCAACCAGACACTCAAAGAGCTGAAGATCCAGGTCTGTTAGTGCAGTGACAATTAAGTATTTACTTTTTTTATTTTTTATTTATGTGATGCAGCATGAAGTCTATTTTGTAATGACTGCTTCCACAGATCATGCATGCATTCTCAGTGGCTCCATTCGATCAAAACCTATCCATAGACGGACGCTGTTTAACAGATGACTCCGCCACACTAGGAAGTCTCGGAGTCATTCCAGAGAGCATCATTTGCCTTAAGGTAACTCTCGACTCGTTTTGACGGGAACAGATACATTGGCTATGTCTTTGAAAGAAGTCTCTTCTGCTCATTTATTTGATCAAAAATACGGTAAAAACAGTAATATTGTGAAATATTATTACAGTTGAATTTTCAGCATCATATCTCCAGGCTTCAGCGTCACATAATCCATCAGAAATAATACTGTTATGATGATTTGCTGCTCAAGAAACATTTCTTGTTATCAATGATGAAAACAGTTGTTGCTGCTTAATATTTTTGTGGAAACTGATCATTTTTTCAAGGTCTCTTAATGTATAGAAAGTTCAAAAGAATAGCATTTATTTGAAATTGCATCATAAATGCTGGGACTTTTAATCATGTGTGCTCTGAATAAAAGTATTTCTTTCAAAGAAAAAAAAACTGACCACAAACTTTTAAACGGTAATGTAGGTGTATTAAATTAGACTTTTAGCCATTTTAAGGATTATTTACTTGGACTTTTTCCTCTACAGGCTGATGAACCCATTGCTGATTATGCTGCAATGGATGATGTTTATCAAGGTAAGTGCTGTTTATGTAAGCTTAAATTCTCTTACCAGTATGTCTCATTTCCAACACCTATTTCTGCATTTGTTTTGATGCAGTGTTTTTTTTCTTCTAGTCTGTATGCCTGAAGAAGGATTTAAAGGTATGAATATGCAATTGTGATCATTTCAGACATGCAAAGCCTTTGTGAAAGAATCCAGAAACATGATATTATCAAACATTATTCATGCTCTATCATATTTGTTTCCTGTTTTTCAGGCACTGGGCTGTTAGGACACTGAGTGAGGCTCCAGATGTGGAACAATGCTGACAATGTCTGAGCAAGGATAAAGCTTGAGTTACACATAGATGTTCATTCTTGGGAAGCCTTTTTTTCTTTTCTTTTTTGGTTTTATTTTTTATTTTGTTATTGAATGTTGCAACAACTTCAAAAGTGTCATTTTGCTTTAAAACATCATGCTCGCTTTTAATATTGAAAGATGTTGATGCATTCTGCAAGACTTTGTGGTCGTACTTAACATGACTGTGAAAAATACGGGTCGAGATTTCCTCAAAGGACGTTCCATTTCAAGGAAAATCGGAATTCCTCCTTGTTTGTTGCAATGTCATGCTCAGAGATTATGGTCTGATCATATTTTGTGTGTAAAACAGTAAGTCTCTGTAAATTCTTTGTTGAAAAGAAGCTTGTGATGGCACTGCAATAGAGCTCGTACATATTTAAGAATGCATGAGCAACTTGAATATTAAAAAATATTTAGTCTTTTGTTTCATTCATGTAAATAACCTCATCCAAATACAGCAGTGGAGAGGCGTCTAAGAAAGATGAGGATAAATAGGACACATTTCCAGAAGTGGAAAATATTACAGCATTGTTAAATAGTTTAGACATGTTCTGCTACTTGAAATATAAAGCAGACATTTGTGTGAACTTTTCTGTATGTTCTTTCATATGGGCAATAAATATTCTTTTTACATCTTCAGATGTGCAGTTTATGCGTAGAACAATTGCAGAAATTGTACTTTTATAGGAGCATTTATATTCATTTGTATTAAATATGTATGTTGTAGGGTTGACTGGTCCAGTCAGCATCTTAAGACAGAAAAGAAAAAAATATATATATATATATAATTTTTCCATATCACTATAAATATGAAATATGTACATGCTTTTAACCTGCATTGAAAAACCTACGTTTAAGCATTTTGACACATAACTCCCATATACCAAACTTTATATATATATATATTCATCAGCTATGAAAGATGTTTTAATTAACAAATTCAAAAATTTGTGTTCCCAATTTACACACAGTGGCTAGTATTTATTTATTTATTCAGGGGCTTGCAGGAAAAAAATCACATTTTATAGTTTGTTTTACCCTGTTCAACTGCAGCATCTCTCCAAAAGATGAAAACCTCTTTAAGGAGAAACCTGTAAAGATTGAAAACTTGCAAAAATGTTCCTGAGATGTTTATTTAAAAAAACACAATCAAATTATGGCAGTTGCATAACAAATGTATAATATGTCCGAACTGATTGCACTATATTGTATGTATAATCGTTTTCTATTCTTAACTGTTTTACATTTATTTTAAACCTCTTAAATCAATTTTTTAATCATTTTCAACTTTTTTAAATTCCTTGTTTTATTGTTGTGATTATTATTATTATTTATTTTTTCTTTTCTTTTATGTAAAGCACTTTGAATTACCATTGTGCATGAAATGTGCTATATAAATAAACTTGCCTTGCCTTGCCATGCCTATATATATGTGTGTGTGTGTGTGTGTGTGTATTATGGCAGTTGCATAACAAATGTATAATATGTCCGAACTGATTGCACTATATTGTATGTATAATCGTTTTCTATTCTTAACTGTTTTACATTTATTTTAAACCTCTTAAATCAATTTTTTAATCATTTTCAACTTTTTTAAATTCCTTGTTTTATTGTTGTGATTATTATTATTATTTATTTTTTCTTTTCTTTTATGTAAAGCACTTTGAATTACCATTGTGCATGAAATGTGCTATATAAATAAACTTGCCTTGCCTTGCCATACCGCTATATATGTGTGTGTGTGTGTGTGTGTGTGTGTGTGTGTGTGTGTGTGTGTGTGTGTGTGTGTGTGTGTGTGTGTATCCATCCAATTTTAGGAACTGAGATGAGTCATTTTATTTGAACTTTTGCTGATGACAGCATTGAACCGATGGGTCCCAAGTGGTTAATACAACATTAAAAAATATAGCTTTTGGAGTTATTTACAACTATAAACCTATCTGTGTAGAGACACGAAATAAAAACACGCATTATATTCGAGTATTTTTATTCATAAAACCATCAAGCTTTTTGAGTGCGTGACTACACGATTGATGTATACGGAGGAGTATTTGTGTGTTTCTAATCATCCTTTCAAAGCTCCCCGAAAACCAGCTGTTCTTTATACGCATGCGTATATAAAGGGACGCAACTCTTGACGCGCATGCGCATAAACGCAGTATTTTGGGCCGAATCTTTACTGCGCGGCGGAATGTTGTCCTTCGAAGGAGTTTAAATAAAGAGCCGGATCATTTGAATTTAAAGGTAAAGGGAAAGTGTGGACTGGAGCTGTAGTGTACTGTATGAGGCACAATAATTTTGCTCTAAGATTGTGCTGTTTGTACGTTTTGCTGCTTTTATTTTTTATGTTAGCATCAGATAGCATGTCAGGTTAGCTGAAAACTGAAATGTCACTCACTGCACGTGATTATGCGTTTAGCTTATGTAGTTAAATCTTTGTTGTTTGCCTTACGTTGTCGTAATGAAGATAAAAATCGTCTAATTGCATTTTTATAGTGCCCTTTATGTTATTATATATTATGTGAAGCAATATCCCTATGATTATACTTGGAAGAAACAGGCTAAAATGTCTCCCTATCAATTATTATAACACCTGATGTATTGTTATTTTCATTTTACTTGTCAAAATAATCATATGCTTTTAGAGCAGTTATGAGTCATAAAATAAAAGTGCAAGAGGTTCTTGACAGAAATCTACTCATGCACACTGACTATAGTACAGCAAATGTTCAATAATATCTCTGTTTATGTCATAAGTTATGTAATAAACAGAGATATTATTGAACATTTGCTGTACTATAGTCAGTGTGCATGAGTAGATTTCTGTCAAGAACCTCTTGCACTTTAATTTAGGAGCAGTATATGAATATTTCACTCCAAAATAATTTTTGGGTCATCTCTGAGCATAGTGTGAATAATCATGCTTAGTATTTTTATCGTGTTTGACATTCAAATATTTAGACATTTTAAAACCAAGATGAAAGAAGATTGAAATTAAGTGAGTTTATCTGTCACAGGGGTGTATATATTATTAAAGGGCAGAAAATATAATTTTTATGTAAGCATAAATTCTTGCTTGACAGTACAAATATCGAAACTTTCTTAAATCAAGATACATTTACGTGAGCAGGAGAATGGCTTAGACATGTTCAAGACACGTTTACTTGCGAAGTAAAATAATTTACGATATTAACTAAAATGTATCAGAATTAATTACTGAGTTTATGCTTAAAACAAGAACAAATATCTGTCAGTGGGTTGAGAAAAATAAACTTTATTGAAAAGGTAAAACAATATTATTTTTTTTAGCCCATTGACATTATTTGTTTTCGCTTTACAGATTAACACACTTAATTTTGATACATTTTTCAGCATTTTTCTCTTGTCCCTCTCTACAGGTACAAGATGGAGCTCCCAAACTACAGCCGACAGCTCATGCAGCAACTGCATGCTTTACGAAAAGAGAAGCAGTTTTGCGACTGCTCCATCCTGGTGGGTGAGACCCCGCACCCCGCTCACAAACTAGTGCTGGCGGCCTCCAGTATGTTATTTAAGTCTGTTCTGGAAGGTTCTGACAGCATCTCGATCGACACAGATCTACTGTCCTCTCAAGAGTTTTCTTCTCTTCTGGACATGGTGTACACTGGTAAACTGCCTCCCGGTAAACACAACTTCACCCGTCTCATCGCCGCTGCAGACAGCTTGCAGATGTTTGATGTGGCCGTTGGTTGTAAGAACATTCTCAATGACCTCATGAAGCAGACTTCTGTGGAAACTGAGTTGATGGACCCTCAAGTTGTAAAACGTGACTGTGTTAAGGAGTCATCTGAATCGGAACAGGTTAATAGGGACAAGAGTAGTTTTGAAGGTAAAAGTTTGACTGATTAATGGTAGACATTTCTGTTTGAGATCACTTTATGTTTAATGTTCACTTTATTTCTATGTTCAGAGGACAGTGCAGTTGAGCTGATCGCTCAAAATCAAGCTGGTATCACAAAACTCCTGCAGAATGGACGGTCATATGTTAAGGTTCTTGAGATCTGGGATACAGTCTCCACAGAAGAGCGCCAGGTAAAGTCATTGTAAAAAAGAGATATATGTAACTGATCATTCACTTCTTAAAGGGACAGTTCACCCAAAAATGAAAAATTGCTGAAGATTTACTCACCCTCAGGCAGTTTCTTCATCAGAACAAATTTGGTGAAATGTAAGCATTCCATCACTTGCTCACCAATGGATCCTCTGCAGTGAATGGGTGCCGTCAAAATGAGAGTCCAAACAGCTGATAAAAACATTGTGATAATCCACAAGTAATCCACACCGCTCCAGTCCATCAATTAATGTCTTGTGAAGCAAAAATCTATCCCCTGGTGTCATCTTACATCAAAATCCACCAACATATTTGTTTAGAACGGTTGTGGACTGTTTTTGCTTGTAAACGTTGCTTGATCTCAACATTTTTCGCTGGAGAAAGCAATATTACGGATCGAGGACTTGTATTTTAGCCATAAGTGACAGTTTTTTAGCTAGAAGCAAAAAGCTAAAAAAAGGTCTTGATGGATTTGTTTGTTAAAAACACAGCTTTTCACTTCACAAGACATTTATTGATGGACTGGAGTCGTGTGGATTATTGTGATGTTTTTATAAGCTGTTTGGACTCTCATTCTGACGGCACCCATTCACTGCAGAGGATCCATTGTTGAGCAAGTGATGGAATGCTACATTTCTCCAAATCTGTTCTGACGAAAAACTAATTCAACTATATCTTGGATGACTATATCTTAATTTTCAGCAAATGTTCAATTTTGGGTGAACTATTGATTTTAAAAATGTTAATGATCTAAGGAAACAATTAGGACTGGATTCAGAAGTTACTCCTGATCTTCTGCAGGTCATATTGGAGAGCTTCAGAGGCGATCCATCAGCAGATGAGGTTTACCAGCGGCTGCTAAATTTTGTGAAAGTTGAGAAAGTTCTGTCAGCTCAAACAGTCCTTACTTTGTTAGAACAGCTCAAATGTTTAAATCCTGATCCAGGATCACTTTTGGAGGAGCAGGGAAATGAGAGCTGTCCCGAGCCAAAAGGTAAGCTGACCTGGGTTCAGTGAAAATGGGAAGTGTTGAATCATAGGGTATTAAAAGGATACTAAAATGACTAAACATTTCAGGTAGAATTTGCTAGACTTTGAGTGACTGCATTTCCTCTTTATTTACAGATTCTGCAGCAGGTGTTCGGTGGTCTGGTGGGCTTTTAGACCATTTATCAGAACTATCTCATCACCTCTCTAGTGTCAACAACCTCTCAGGGCTTTTGACCAATGCGGTGAACAGATGTATAAATGAAGTGGAAAAAGAGGTATATATGTCCCTTACTGTTTGCTATATAGAACAATACAGCAGTACACTTTGATTATAATTTGATATATGTACACTACCATTTAAAAGTTTGAGGTCAGTCAGATTTACTGAATGTTTTTGAAAGTCTCTTATGCTCACCAAGGCTGCATTTATTTAAATATATATATATATATATATATATATATAT